AAAAGGGTCGCTGGTTCTCTGCACTCACCATACGAAACATAGCAGTGTTAAGCTGCTATTTTACGCTGGTATTCTGTGAGAGCGTGTAACGCAGTGGACTTTTATATACACAACTTATCAAATATGTAGGCTGAAGTGGAAATTGACCACTCATATCATTCTCGAGTGGCAGCATCGTAATAGTAAGCAGTGATAGACGACTCTCCTACAATATTGAAACAACAATCCAATGACACGAGCAGGAAGTTGTTGAATTCACTTTATTTTGTAAGTTAGAATTATGGATGAAAATGGAGCACGCGGTCCTAATAGCAAGTGAATGCCACGACACATAGGCTATCATTGTTTAAGAATCAAAACACAGATGCTTTTTACCCCTGAGTACTAAGATGGAATGCCCCGTTTCTAGTAAACGGCCCTTTAGTTCACATGTTATAATACTAAACAGCAGCCACCACTCGGCAAATATTGATGATAGGGGTTGTGGCAACAGTTAATTGTTATACGATACGAACGTTTTTTGCCTCCTCAAGGCCATGGGAAAACTCTTCGAAAGGGTCATTCTCACTCGTATGAGGCTCCATCTGTTTCCCACAGACGTTGACCCTCTTGTCATCCCCCATCAATTTGGTTTCCGAGCGAAACATTCCTGCCCCCAACAAGTTCACCGTATTGTGGAATATATCCTAAGCGGTTTTTATCCTTGTCGTCATTCTTGTTATTCTATATCGCGGTCTTTTTCGACATAGCTAAAGCCTTCGATAGAGTCTGGCATAAAGGCCTTATCTATAAACTATACCGAATAGGTCTCCCCGATCGTCTAGTACGTCTCGTGGCCTCTTACCTAAAGCATCGTACCTTTCGTTTTAGACACGAAGGCACACTCTCTTCTCAGCGCCCCATCAAAGCTGGTGTCCCTCAGGGCTCAGTACTTGCTCTTCTCCGATACATTTTGTTCACCAAGGACATTCCCATCCCGTCGAATAGTGTTCAGCTCTCCCTCTTCGCAGATGACACTGAAAAACACTCCACCAATACGTATGCTAGGGACCCTTGTCCCCTGGCATACATCTGCCAAATATTTAGGCGTCGCCCTTGACACGAGGCTCACCAGAGTAACCCGTCACGCACGATTCTATCTGAGTAGGCTCAACAGTATGCTGGACCGACACAGTAAAATGTCCCACCGTAACAAGCGAACCCTTTATAAGGTCTGTATACTACCAGTCATGTCTTACGCGGGCCCTATTTTGCTCGCGCTGACCCCAAAATTATTAATGAACTCCAAATAGTTCAAAATCTCTTCTGTCGTCGAGCTACGGACGCACTTAGGTACGTCCATAATGCCGACCTCCATCGAGACTTAGAGCTCCTTACAATCCAAAAATTTGTTAAAACACTCTCTTAGAACTTCTTCAAAACCTAAGAGTCTCATTCCAACCTTTTTATTCGTGAGGCAGCTAATTATGCAGCCCCACTCCCCTCTCGCTATCGAGTCCGTATGCCGAGAAACTCTCTCTCGGACCCGCCAAATAAAATTTCAACCGACCTGAACTGCCTCCTGGTGGCTCAGGCTGACTCTTCTTAGATTTGCCCTAGTAGGCTCTCTCTCAGCGGCTTGTAGCCGCCTGCGCCCTCTTTTCCCAAAAGAGGGTCGCTTCCGATCTGGCAGAGAGGCTTCATAGGTCACTGCCATTCCCCAAAGGCGGTTTTTAGCGGGTATCACTTAGGGTCCCGGTTAGGTAGTCATAGTGAGTCCCACATAACCACGACAGACCGGCTGTCGTGGTATGCATAAAGCATTTACCGCCTCGTCGCGTATCGGGGTAGCCCTTTCCAAATGCTTCTGGGCGAAAAAAGAAAATAAAAACAAATACTTGTTTAGTGTAGTCTTAGAATCCATTGTGTGATGGCAATCCTTTGGACATAATATATAAAAATATTACCTTTTAATAAAAAAGAAGCCGGCTTTAAAGAATTTTTTTTAATTATTATTTAACCTCTGGTTAGCATCGACTTTAAAATTTAAAATTATTATATTCTTTTTCGTTCTTTGAAGACGGCTTTTAATTTTTTAAGAAAGGTTATTTATACCCATTTGAGTTGACAAATTCAACAATCGCAATGTCGTTTATATAGAGACATCGCAAAGTACAACACAAGTATTTATTTATTTATTTTGACTTACTAACTAAATACATATGAATCATTTCAGATACATTTTAATTTAACGCAATAATTTTATTTAAAAACAAAAACAAAAGTTGTATAAAAAAGAAATCAGAAATCGCTAGTTGTGACTGAGTTGTAGTTTTTTGTTCCACAATAGCAATTAAATGAGAAGTTAGTTTTAAATAAAATTTATCATTTTCTAGAGTATTATATTAATCTTATACTTATACTTACTTATACGTACCTTCACGCACAATCCCTGACGGGGTAGCCAGAGAGAACAGATCGCCAAGTGTCACGATCCTTAGATACCTCTTTCGCTTCTTTCAGATTCATTATCTTCTTCATACATGCACGTCTAGGTATCCGAGTACTCTTGACCCTACCCTCTTCGAGCAATTTGCTCACATGGTCTTCGAAAGTTAGTCTCGGTCTACGTCGACACCTTTTAATATTAACTTTCGCGCTATTTATTTTCTTCACCATTCGGTCTTCACTCATTCGCTCAACGTGCCCAAACCACCGAAGCACGCCCTTATCAAATTTTGTGATAAGGTCATCTTTCAAACCTGCCATATTGCGAATCTCTTCAATTCGCTTTCGGTCGGCCATGGTAACGCCGCACATTTTACGAAGAGATCGCATCTCCACTGCATTCAACTTGCTTTATGCTTCTTCTGGCATACCCATTATATTAATCTTAGTAGAGAGTATTATATTAATTAGTCTTGAAGCAGCTTATTACGTACAAAACCAAAGTAAAAGTAAATACAGCGGAATTGTAATCTTCCGTCTAATTTGCCTCGTATCTTGAAATGAACGTGCCTAACGTGGCATTTATGTTGTTACTACTTGGTTACTTGCGAGTGAGAGGAAAACTTTGCATACGTTGTACGCGATTTGGACTTGATCCCGGATAACTTTTGCTGATTTGCAACAGATAAATTGCATGTTGTCATGAGGTTTGCAGAATGTTTGGCAGCTTGTTTTGTAAAAACAAGAGAAAACGAAAAGAAATTTATACGTAGACACATACGGTAAAGTCACATATAAATTAATTTTTAATCTCTTTTTATTGTTAAAAATACGATACGCTTTGTTTATCTGGGGGCTAAGATGGAATACCTCAAAACCTGTAAATACCTGGCACTTTATACTCTTCAGAAAGGAATACGAGTAAAAGTTGCGCAAGCACTGCTATTTGGCGGCGCAAATAGCTTAGAAGGTACTTACAGAGGCGGGCTCCATCTCCGAATGGGCAAAAAATATGAGCTTCAAACACACTACAAGTAGAACGAACAGCACACAATCAGCCTGATCGCTATGGGATATTTTATATTATACTACCCATCTATCATGAATTAGGATAGACTGTGTGGATGCTACATCTCTCCTAAAAACTAAAATGGAATGCCTCAAAAAAGGGTCTCGGGTTTTCTAAGCTCTCCATACGAAAGAGTACCATTAAGCTGCCAATTCATGCTGCTACTCTGTGAGAGGGTGGTTTTTCACTATTGAGCGGACCCATTTATGTTTGCTATAATATATCAGCGTGACTTTATCACTTAAAAACATAGATTATATTATATACCTAACATTTCTCTCTCCTACGAGGTATCCCATTCAAGGCGCGATTGAAGTGTTACATGGGCAAATACTAGCGACGTTGAAAACAAATAAATTTTAGTTTAACAAACTAAAGAAACAGATCAAAGATAAAAATATTTTATTCTATTCTGGCGAACCTGATCAGGATACGAGGATAAATTTGTAAAATTATAGTAGTGTCATCAGTGCTTGGTACAAGTGCAAATTTTCAAGTCATTCGGCTGTCTAAAAGTTGGTAAAAATTACATTAAAAGATTCCATTACTTATTTAGATAGATAGATACACTCGACGCTAATAAAAGCGTGTTAAAAATCGAGTCGTTTTTAAATATCCTTGTGTGAGAACGCCCTTACTTGAATTGTAGATGGCTTTGCATATATAATAGAGCTCAATTTACTTCAAACATTTTATTGAAAGCCGTATACATAGTCTAGGTACCCAACCGTCTTCAAATAAGACGGGCGGGTACGTCATTATTACATCAGATTAAAAATTCAGTCCCTTCTAAATAAATCAACCTTAATGGAGGCTATAAATAACGTATTTTACGATGTCCTTGTAAAAAAATTTATACAGGTTGAAAGGGGATTTGTGGCATGGAATACTTATACTCGTAAAAGATTGTGACACGCGTAAGATAACATAACCTACTTCTATAAGAGACTAACTACACTTATTCATCTCATATCAACTTTTGTCCATAGAAAACTGGTGTTTCATTCATTCATCGTCAAAATTTAATGAAATTAAACGAAATTGCTAAACATTTAAAAAGCAAAATACAAAATAATTTTACTCAGACATTCTGTCGATGATTTTATGCGAAATAATTGCGAACCAATGCAAGTCGCAACTTATCGTCGAGGACAGCTCGCGTACAGCACTGAATATGCAAACGTTTCACCGGAGATAGCAAGCTATGACGGCCTCACAACCTTACGATGCTGCATGCGGCTGATATAAGCGGAACTGTATAATTGTAACACTAAAATCACACAGCGAAACGCGAGTGGCGCAAAATAAAGGCTTTGTCAGACAGGACGCGTATTTTAGCGCTGCGTAGTAGCGTTATAGCGTCCCGTTTTAACGTCGCGCGAGGCTTCGTCAAACAGAACACTTTAGCGCGCGTTAGGGCGCTGACTCGATGACACGGCGTCGCCATTTCGCCATTCGCCAAAGCGTAGTGCAGATCGTTAGCAGTTTGAAGAGTTTGTTCGTTATGGAGATGTCGAGTGATTCAGATGTGGAAGAATTATTACTTTTATATGCTTTATCACGGTCACAGAGAAAAAGAGTATGGGTGCACGACATCAATCAAAAGAGAAAGGATTTAGGAGAATATCATCGTTTGTGTCGTGAGCTTGCATCACATGAAGATCGTTTTTTTACATACTTTCGTATGTCTCAAGATTTATTCGAAGAACTACATGAACTGCTCATCCCAAAAATAAGCAAATCTACCACAAACTGGAGGACGCCTATTTCTACAAGAGAAAGACTTGTAATCTGTTTAAGGTAAGAAATATTTATTTTTTTATATACATGTTCATTGCGTTATTATTATGAAAATCAATCAAAATCAGCTGAGTTGTAATCAGATGTCGATGCTCCTGAAATATCGATTTCGCGTAGTGGTTGACGTAGCTGCTCAGGCTGTTGCAGGTATGATGAAGTACTGTTAGATAAATCTATAACAGCTACTGGGGATGAATCTTCGGGCACAGAATTGGGTACTGCATAGCTGACGGAGTCTTCGGTACTAATAATGGAATAAGGTGGTGAATTCAATATCTGGACGTTTTCTTGCAGTTCCTCTGTTTCTATGCTTGCAAATAACTTGGCTAGTTCTACTTTGGCTTTTATCTGTTTGTCTTTGGAAAAACTTTTAAATGTTTGGGCATAACTTTGGAATAGGTGATCTATGGCATCATACTCTTGTTTTTGTTTATTTTGAAGAAAATTTATAACTTTATCCATTTCGCTGTCAGTTTTTTTTTTTTCTTAGCTCGTGAACTATTTGTGTCATTTGTTTGGGGCGTCTCTAGCGGAGGTGTTTCTGGCGGGGGTGCGCTTTGTATTCTTGGTGGAGGTGTCTGTGGTGAAGGCGTCTCTGGAGATTGAGTTTCTATAGCTGGCGATGTTTCTGGTGTAGGTTCTCGAATATTTGAAGTTGTTTCTCGATCTGTCAGAGTTGAGTCTAGGAACTGTAACTGGGAAGCCCAAGGCCATTTTGTAAATTTTTTTGCAGCTTGTCCTGTAGTACCTGCAACCTCTTTTTTGTATCTCATATAATTGTCCCTCAAGCTCTTCCATTTTTTTTTAGCTACTTCACCTGTAAAATAAACATAAATTGTATTATTTTGTTTCAGGTACTTAGCTACGGGTGATTCACATCAGACCATAGCCTTCTCCTTCCGAGTAGGTCGTTCAACAGTCGGTGGTATTGTAAAAGAAGTCTGTACAGAAATCTGGAATACATTACAACCAGAATATATGCCATCGCCTACTGAAGAGACATGGAAACAATCAGAAAAGGGTTATAGGGAAACCTGGAACTTCCCGAATTGTGTCGGTAGTATTGACGGGAAACATGTCTCTATAAAGTATCCCAAAAATAGTGGATCAGAATATTTTTACTACAAGAAGTTTTTTTCTGTAGTTCTTCTTGCTATAGTCGATCCATGTTACAAATTCACCGTCATAGATGTCGGTAGTTACGGGCGGCATAGTGATAGTGGTATATTCGAGAACTCAATATTTTATCGGCAATATATCCACGGAAAATCTCTGCTGCCAGATAAACCTCTTCCAGGCACCGAGGAGCCCGTACCTCATGTACTTATCGGCGACGAAGGTTTTGCTTTAAAAACATATTTGATGCGTCCATTCCCAAGAGCCTTAGCTACACAAGACGAAAGAAAAACAAATTTTAATAAAAGACTTTGCATGGCGCATTTTTTTACGACCTATTGACTGTGATGTGGACACAGCAATTGATATTATTAAAGCTGCATGTTGTTTACATAATTACTTACGAACAAAAAAAGGTACAGCGATATTAACTCCGGAGTCGGAAGACGAAAACGTACCTATGCGTGCTCTAATAACTCATCGTCCAACAAATAGAAGATCAACGACTGCAGCATTCGAAACTCGTGAACAATTTGTGTCTTATTTTAATCAATAAACGATTTTTTTTTACTTACCAGTTTCATTAATTTCTTCTCCGATTTGTGCCCACAATTTTGCCTTCATTGATATATCTTTATACGCACTATCCTTCGTATTATATAAGCATGGATATTTTCTAACCAATTCTATCAAATTTTCGGTCATTATGCAGTATTTTATTATTATTTTACACCTATTCACTCCGACGCTAAAATAAAATTTGTAAAAAAATACAACACCCGACGTTAAAGCGTCCTAACGCCGCGACAGAGCGTTGCGTACTGCTAGCGTCGGCGCTCTGTTTGACGGTATTCTACGATGGTAGTACAACACATCTTACCGTCATAGCGCGGCGTTAAGTTAACGCTCTGACGCGCGCTAAGTACGCGTCCTGTATGACAAAGCCTTAAATGTAGTAACTCCCTTATACTGACGTTTCTCAAATTATCCGTTACCTTCAAGTACATGGGGTGGAGCGTGGAAAAATCTAAAAATTTAAAAATATTTTTTTATTAATTATAATTATTGTAAAAAATTAATCTTAATATGTTGGTGTGTCATAGACAGTGCCATGAAAAGACGTTTTGAGATAAAGTTCTCAGTAAATACAAATTTAACATGAAATTTTAATATTATCTTCTTTTTATGGTTCCGTGCCTCAAAAGGAAAAAACGGAACCTTTATTTGTCTGTCTGTATGTCTGTCTGTCTGTCTGTCTGTCAAGACCCGTTTTCTCAGGAACGCGTAGAGGTAACAAGCTGAAATTCATATCAATATTCAAGTCTACGATCCCTTAGAGCTGTGAAAAAATCAAACTTCTAAGTCAACGCAATCAAAAGATACAGCCATTTATGCCGCAAATTTTCGACATTCGCAAGAGAATTAAAACCTACAGGGTACTTCCCGTGAACTCAAAATCTTGAAATTTGGTACGAAGCAACGTTTTATAGCACAGATAAAGGAAAAATTGCGAAAAGTATAAATTATTAGTTACATTATATAATAAAAATATTTTTAATAATTTTAAACCTACAGATTTTTTCGGAACCCTCAGTGCGCGAGTCCGACTTGCACTTGCCGGTTTTTTATATAAAAATAAAGTGACAAACAAAACAATCCACCTGATGGTAAAGTGGCTTCTGCATCCCACGGTCGAGCCGACCCAATCGTGCTACAACTATACTACTAATATAGCTGCAGCATGGCTCTACCACGTGAAAATAAGAATATAAAGATTGCATGTACCACATCCCGTAATTGTACATGCTGTGTATATAGGATATAATACTTGAGACCGGAACACAGCAGTGCAAACACTGCTATATGGCGGCAGAAATGGCAGAGGGTGGGTAGGTACCCAGACGGACTTCTAGGCAGAAAAAGCGTTCTACCACCTCTTCGTCTCTTCTTCTATATCAGCACAGAATGTCCAAAGTCTACTGCTGGACTGCTCTTCTGTTGTATCGATCTGAAATTCTTTAGTGTTTGATTTTTATTGTCTCCTTACCCACGACGGAACGGAGAAGATGTATGGAGTTTAGGGTGAGGTTAGTTTGTTTGCGTGTGCAAACGAACGTTCCCATTTATCTTCAAAATGGTTTGACCGACATAGATATAATATTCTGTAAAGGGTTTGTGATTCATCGTCAATGGATTTTAGATAGGTGTCACGGTGTTAACTCCACAGTGAGCGCTGCATTTAATATAATATTTGTGAAAACGAATGTTTGTGATTCATCGGTAATGGTTTTCAGATAGATGTCTTGGTGTTAATTCACCAAGGGGTGCTGCAACGTTGGTTAGGTAAATATGTACTCTTTAATTGATATAAATTATTGCATCTCTTAGCTGTTCTATATTAAAATTATTATTCTATATTAAATTTACGGATTTTTAAAGTAGTTTAAATACACACATGTTTTCACTAATAACCTTATTATACTTCCAATTTTCCAATAATTTTATGTCAAACTTTCATGTAAAATTTTTTTCATACCATTTTTATGAAAGTACCAATATAAAATGTTTTTCTTTTCCTTTTAGTCAAAGGTTTTTCAAAATTTTATTTAATCTTTTTTTGATTACAACTATTATATCTGTCGTGGGATCATTCAAAGTATTTTTTATTTTGCTTTTTATTTCTTTTATTTTATTTGCTTCAATTGTTTACGACTAATTTACAATAATTACATGAATTATAATAAATAATGAAAGCCATTTCCAAGTTTTTAATCTTATTTTAGAAATCCTTGCCTTTATTATTTCAGTTTGTATATATTCTACGATAGGACATTATCCACTCGTTAGTTGGGAGAAAATTAATAAACCTAGCAAACTAACAGCATAGCAAAGTGGCGAAGCAATCAGCTTTGTAGCGGTTTCTAACGGTTGCCGTTGAGCAATCAGTTTCAAAATAGGAGGTTCAGATGCCTGGGTGATCAGTAATCGATTGCTGAAAACAGAATTTGAAAATTCGAAACCGTTCTCGAGATAATCGTGGGACAGACGGACAGACGGACAGACATCGTGAAATCAATAAGACTTATTATCACTTAGTGATTTCGCAAGCTTCGCCACTTAATAAATGTTTATACAATTTCAATAAAATTTCTTTGAATAAAAACAATAAGTATGTTTATAATAACCATTGCATGTTTATGTGCAAAAATGTAAGTGTTTGTTCAAAAATCGTACAATTACTTGTTTTGATTTTTTTTAATATTTAATTGACCCCGACGTGATTTGAACACGCAACCTTCTGATCTGGAGTCAGACGCGCTACCGTTGCGCCACGGAGTCGTTGCGTAACTAACTAAAATCACAAGTTAATACCTAATTACCTGAAGCGATAAATAATAATTAAATCTTTGGATAAAAAAAGAAATGCTCTCATTACTTGACGAGCGAATTTTTTTTTCATAAATGTTTCGAACTAAGAACATCTTTTTAATGAGATAGCTAGAAGATGATAGATGAGATAAACGTATTCACAGGAGCATGTGAAAAGGGGCATTCAACAACTGATCATGCCCAAATCACGGATAGTGTATGTGAGTGTGACTAGTATACTAGTCCTTTGTGTAAAAGTCCACTAATTGGCATATGCCCTTCGCAGTACAGACTTCTTGCACCTTTGACGCTTTCCGTCATCGATTCGGGTATTTTACGTGCGGTGTAAATGAGATTATACGTCATCGATATGAGCATTTTACGTAAAGTGTAAATGATATTATACGTCGTCGAAATGGGTATTTTACGTAAGGTGTAAATCAGATAATAAGTCGTCGGTATGGATACTTTACGTACGGTGTAATTAAAATTAAACGTCGTAGATATGGGTGTTTCACGTACGGTGTACATGAGATTATGCGTCGTCGATATGGGTATTTTACGTATGATGTAAACGAGATTATACGACTTCGATATGTGTATTTTACGTACGGTATAAATTATATTATACTTCGCCGATATGGGTATTTTATGTATGGTTTAAACGAGATAATATGTCGTCGATATGAGTATTTTAAGCATGGTGTAAACGAGATTATACATCGTCGATATGGGTTTTTACGTATGGTGTAAACAAGATTATACCGCCATCTATCGGAACCCAGAATTTTTATTTATGTTTGATTGTAATTTCTAGCAACTTCCATAGTCGTCTCTTGAGACAACATTTGAGACACCACTGGAGACAAAATGTAATGGATTTTATTACACCACGACGTTATAAAAGTGATTAGTCATACTTTTGTCGTGTCATGGATTTATTTGTACTAAATGAAACTATTTTGTATTTTACGCGCGATAGATTTCGTTACTGTGTCCAAATATTATATACTTCCATGCGTATATGGTGTGGCATTTTTATTGGTAAAGTAACAGTTATTGGTCTTTCATCCTAATAAATTTCTTATCATGAGTGATATTTTCTCGAAGGAAATCTTAATGCACTGTTGGATTCAATTTATCGGTCGTAAAATATTTGGAACATTAAAGAAAAGCAGAATACAAAGGTTATACGACCTTTCTGTTTGGACTGAATTCTTGGTAAGGAAAAAGAAACATTTTCTTGACAAATTATTTATAATAGTAATGATGTTACTTTACGATTTATATATAAAATTCTGGGAATCCATTACTACTTATTAACATACTTGGTTTATTATATGCTTTTCAATAGGTTATACATCTTTAACGATAATATTACCCCTTTCATAATTTAATTGTTGAATATTTGTTGTATTTTTATATAAAGGCATGTTACACTTATAATAATAATAATAAATTAAAAGATACTAATAACATGAAACATTGAAATTACACTACGTATGTCACTTTTGAAGTTGAAAAGAATCCGAAACTGTAGTTGACCTGTGGCAACTCTCACACTGAATCATTTTTTTATAGAATAGAGAAAACAAACGTGCACTCACGTCTCCCTTATGGTAAGTGGATCCTGTGACCCATTGCTTATTAGCATATTATCCTCGATTAAGAATCAAAATGCATTGTTACTCCTTGGGATTAATATAGAATGCCTCGTAAAAAGTGCCTCGTATCTAATAAAAAGGGTGTCCGGTTCTCTTCTTCCACCATACGAAACACAGCAGCTTTAACACTCTTCTTTACGATGCTGTATTCTGAGAGCATGGACTTTCCCTGGTTGAGCCGACCCATTTATGCTGCAACCTTAATAAAGCTTCAATAAACGCAGAAATTATGTACTCCGGAGTAGTAGCTCCATGAAGGACAGAATAAAAGAGTTTCTGAAAGACTTTAAGTACCAGTTTTCCATCCGT